GAAAAACAGTTTTTCAAAAGAAGATAGACAAATGGCCAAAAAACATATAAAAAGTGCTCAGCCTCACTAATCATCAGGGAAATGCAAATTAAAACCACCATCACCTTGCCCTTGTCAGAATGGCTATTATTAAGAAATTATAAAACAATGGATGCTGATATGGATGTGGTGAAAATGGAATGCTTATACACTGTTGGTGAGAATATAAATTAGTGCGACCTCTGTGGAAAACAGTATGGAGATTTCTCAAAGAACTAAAGGCAGATGAGCCACTCGATCTAGCAATCCCACTGCTCAGTATCTACCCAAAGAAAAAGAAGTAATTTTATTAAAAAGACACTACACCCATAAGTTTATTGCAGCACAATTCACAACTGCAAAAATGTAACAAACCTTAGTGCCCACCAACTGATGAGTGAATAAAGAAAATGGGACGGGTATTTGTATACACAAGGAGTGCAATGCGCACTACCCGAAGGATGGACATATTTGAAACACGGACTTCGGTGGGGGGGGAACCAAGGGCAACACACGTAACCTAAACGTATGTACACCCATAATTTGCTGAAATAAAAAAAAAATACAAAGGTATTATTAATAAAATAATAATAAAAATGTTTTCAAATTTAAAAAAAAAAAAAAAAAGAAAATGTGGTATATGTGTACACCAGAGAATACTACTCAGCCATCAGAAAGAATGAAATAATGACTTTTGCAGCAACTTGGATGGAACTGGTGGCCATTATTCTTTTTTTGTTTGTTTTTTTTGGAGACAGAGTCTCGCTCTGTTGCCTGGGCTGGAGTGCCATGGCATCAGCCTAGCTCACAGCAACCTCAAACTCCTGGGCTCAAGCGATCCTCCTGCCTCAGCCTCCCAAGCAGCTGGGACTACAGGCATGTGCCACCATGCCCGGCTAATTTTTTCTATATATTTTTAGTTGTCCAGCTATTTTCTTTCTATTTTTAGTAGAGCCGGGGTCTTGCTTTTGTTCAGGCTGGTCTCGGACTCCTGACCTCAAGCGATCCTCCTGCCTTGGCCTCCCAGAGTGCTAGAATTACAGGCCTGAGCCACCGTGGTGGTCATTATTCTAAGTGAAGTAACCCAGGAACAAAAAAAAAAAAAATAGGAAATGTTCTCATTTATAAGTGGGAGCTGAGCAATAGGTATGCATGGTCATAAAGGGTGACTTAATGGACATTAGATACTCAGAATGGGGAGGGTGGGAGGAAGTGTAGAATGGAAAATCATCTGTCGCATATAATGTACACTATTCAGGTAATGAGTATATTAAAAGCCTATACTTATCCAGTATGCATTTCAGCCATGTAACAAAAATCTCCTTGTACCCCCTAAGTCTATTTAAAAAAACAAGCAAACAAAACATAATACCTTAGTAAAACTGGAAAAAATAAAAAGTAAACAAAAATATACCATGCAGTCCTCCATCCTTTCCTTTCTTCAATAATCTTGGTGGCCACATGTTTAGGCTACATTACAAGATGATGGAAATATAGATCCCAGGGTTTCCAGATGGAAGAAAGCCCCCAGTGGTCCACATCTGAATTAATGTTTGTTGTGCCAAGCCACTGAAGCCTCTGAATTTTGGGGGTTATTTGTTTATGAAACACATTATAGTATTCCATTACCATACTTTGTGGTTTTTCAGTTCCTTGTTATGCTCCCCATCCTTCCAAGAAAACAAAACAAAACAGAAAAAAACCTTCCACATATATAGAAACCAGGACTCAGTGAAGCCAGTAATGTGAATAAGCACAGCTATACAGAGATTTTAATTTGATGGAATCCAAATCACCTTTTTACATGCTTTCTCTGCTCTGTCTGCATTGGCTTATGCCAGTGGTACAAAGATACTTATGTATGTTTTTCTCATAGGGAACATGTAGCTTACCCCTTTTTAGGGATACGATACATTTATAATTATACATGTATAATTGGATTTCAAGTGTGGTTTCAAAGTTCTTTTCTGTTAATGTGGATACCCAGTCATAACATCATTTGCTAAATAGATTTCTTTTCCCTGTTGAATTTCTTTGGCTCTCTTGTCAAAAATCATTTGTTGGTATGTATGTGAGTCCATTTCTGGACTCTGTCATATCCCTTTGAACTCTATGTCTGTCCTTTTGCTTATATCATACTAACTAGATAACTCTAGCCTCATAATAAGCATTGACATTAGATAGAATATATCCTCCATATTTGTTATTCTTTTTCCAGATTATTTTGGCTATTATAGAGCTCTTGATTTTTCAGATACCTTTTGAAATCAGCTTGTCAATTTATCCAAGTAAGTGTTCTGATATTGTACTTAGCATTTCATTGAAGCTACAGATCAGTTTGGGGAGAATTGGTATCTTAACAAGAGTGAGCCTTTCAATGATGAACATAGCAACATGGCACATTTTCCCATTTATATAGGTCATTTTTATTTATGTCAGCAATGTTTTAAAATGTTTATTATAGCAGTACTGTTTAATTTGCAAACATTTGGGAATTATTTTAGATTTTCCACCAAATATTGATTTCTGACTTAATATTGCTATTGTCAGCAAACATATTCTGCATGATTTCCAAAAGTTTAAATGTATTAAGACTTGAATTGTGGCATATTATAGGGCCTATGTTGTTGACTGTTCCTTGTTCACATGAGAAGAATGTATATTGTGGTCACTTTGTATTTGTTGGTTGGTTGATATTAAGTTATTTTGGTTGACAATAATGCATAAATCTATAAACTACATTTTTGTACAGTTCAATCACATATAGAGAAAGGGTACAAAAGTTTACAGCCATAATTGTGTTTTATTTACCTTTAGTTGTGTCATTTTTTATTTTATGTTTATGGGACCTTTGATATTAAATAATATATATGTAACATTATTATATTATGTCATCCTGATGAATTGTACCTGTTGTCATTATAGATGCTCCTCTTTACCTCTGGTAATATTTTTTGTTATATACTCTCAATTTGGATTGGTATTTTTTTTTATATCCACACTAGCTTTCTTATTCTTAGTGTTTTCATTGTGTATATTTAAAAATATTTTTTGTAAATGTAATCAGGTGCTGAGGCCATTGGCAGCTGTAGTCCTGATGTGACTGGCTGGCAGATGGGACCCCAGTGTTTAGCCCGTGCCCCTGTCCCCATCCCCATGCCCCACGGCACTCGGATGACATTCGATTCCCTCCCCTTTCTTAGTTTAAGTGATTATATTTTGCTAACTGTACTTGGTGAGAGAGAGGGAAAAAAAGCAGGTACCACAGAAATAGGAGACATGAATGTTCTAGAGGATGAGAGATGCACTGCAATAGTTTATGATTTTGTCACACGAGAAAAGTTTTTTGGGGCCTAGCGGTTTGGGAATATTTAAGGTATACCTTCTGAAATGAGGAAAAGCAAGTTTTCCTTGATCCACCCATCATGACGCGCAGAGGTGAGCACAGGACACCGTGCTGGAGGCCCACGTTTTTGTACACATTGTTTGACCCTGATCCTTGTGAACCAGCCAACCCCAGGGTATTGGCCATATCTCCGCCAGACACAGACTATGTGGAGTCTCTGCAAGCCAAGATAGGAGTCCCAGAACAGACCCTCTGGGGTTGGAGTAACAAATAGTTTCAATTGAAAAGTATCTCGGTTTTGTGTTAGGTCCTGGTAGAAATGGAGCAATCAGTGGGATGACAATGGTGAGTATCCTCTATTAA